TTCCCAAAACTCCCTTTGTTTTTGTTTTTTGTTTAAATTCTTACAAATATGCGTAAAACTAATAAAATAAAAAAGTGAGGAAGTAAATGTTGTTGTTGTTTCCGTTGTTGACGCATCATTTAATGGTCACTAATTGAGTTTCCATGTGAAGGAAGAATGACCGAAAAAAAAAAACTCGTTATTATAAAATAAAAAGATTTTCGTGTGGTGTAAGGGGAAGGGGAGGGGAGGGGTGGGAGGGAAGGAGGAGGGAGTGAAGCAAGCAGGTACGGTACAATTTAAAATGAAAATTAAATTTTTGGTTAATTGGTTTTTAGTTTTTGTTTTTTATTTCTTTCTTTCTTTTTAAGTAATAATAATAATAATAATAATAATAATAATAATAATAATAATAATAATAATAATAATAATAATAATAATAATAGCTACCGGTGATTTCGAGTGCTCTTGTGTATGACCTTTGACATTAAGTAAAAAAAGCATATTCTTGGAATTTTTTTTTGGTTATTTCTTCTTCGCGTACCTGAAAACGTTTTTCTTTCTTGTCTTTTTTCTTCCCCCCCCTCTCTCTTCGCGCGAGCTCCTTAATGGTAACAAAAAAAAAAAAAAATTTTAAAAGCGACCGTAATTTTTCATATTCTAATTAACTTAAATCTTGTAATTAATTTAAACCTTGAAACATCACGAAGGAATAAGAAAACATTTCTCTCTCTCTCTCTCTTTAAGATTTAAAAATTAAATTAACTGTCTGATTCTCTTTTTCTTACGTTTGTCTGTGTGTTTGTGCGTGTGCTGTCCGTCCGTGTGTCTGTCTGTTTGTGTGTGTGCCACCGACTACTTTTAAAATCCCGTCATTTACCCACATTTAAAAAAATGTAAATCTTCTCCCCGCCTTTTTTTTCCTCCTCCTCCTCCTCCTCAAAATCCATCCATCCTTTAAAAAAAAAAAAAAGTGAAAAAAACTGAAGGATTATTATTATTATTATTATTAATTAAATTTTTATCGCGAAGCAAGCAGGAAAGAATTACCATCATCATCATCATCATCCTGGTAATTAGTTTCGTCATATTTATATTTAAAAAAAAAGATGTCGGAATTCGGATCAAATCGAATGAGATAGAGAGAGATAGAAAAGGTTTTCCGACAGCAGAAGAAAATTAAAAAAGGATCGATGGGAAAATGGGACTTTCTTTCGGAGAAAAAAAAACTCTCTCGCTTGAGGTGAAATAAAAAAAAAAAAATAATAATAGTGATGATGATGATGATGATGATATTTTTCATTCATTAGCATAACACAAGAAATAATAAGTCTCTCTCTCTCTCTCTCTCTCTCTCCCCCTCTCTCTCTGTCTGTCTCTCTTTCTCACCCATCGAGGATCGGTTTGATTATAATCATTAAATAAAAGATTAACTACCAGTAAAACCATCGTTCGTTCGTACATTTACATAATAACACTCTTTACGCTAAACTAATATAATATTTATAACCGTGTGGGAAGGGGAGGGGAGGAAAGGGAAGGGTGAGCAATAAGGGGGGGGCGTAATAATTACACACGTTCGTTAGTAGCGTGCCTTATTTGTTTTCAACGGATCGGTGAAAAAAACAAACACAAAACACCAAAAAAAAAATAATGATAATAATAACGAAACGTAACAAAATACGATTTTTTTTTTTGGAAAGGGGAAAGGGAGGGAGGGGTTACGAAATTAAATATAAAAAAAACAATCAAAACGGGTAGGAAAGGGGGGATAAAAAAAATTATTTGCTTTATTCTCTGGAAATTTTTTTTTTTTTTTGTACTGGAAACGACTGGAAATTATTTCAGGCGAAAAATACACCGCCGATGGTAAAACTAACAACCGTGAGAATTTAATATATATTAAATTTAATTATAAATTAAAGTGTTTGGAAACTGGAAAAAAAAAAAATTCAACCGGGTATCAAGAACAAACGATCGTCACGAATGGGTACCTCTGGCGACAACAACAACAACAACCACAACAAACACACACGGTTAAAAATTTTTTGATTATGCGAAATATGAGTAAGAATGCGTGAGGGGAGGTTTCTTCCTCTTTTTTTTTTTTTTTAGATTTTGTGACGTAATAGGTTGGATTAAAAAAAAAAAAAGGTTGTCAGAAGATGGTAGAAGGATTTAAAAGTTGAACAAATAATTTTATCGGTGCATAAAATTTATCAGAGGTAATGGCGTCGTCGTCGTCGTCGTCGTTGTCGGCTGTCTAATCAAATGGCGCCTTCTTTTAACGTGTCCACTCTTTTAGTGATTGTTTGTAGGTCGATTATGGTTGTCTCTGAGTCATCGTCGTCATCGTCGTCGTCTTGGTTGTATCAAATGGGAAAATTTTCTGCGTCAATCGAATCCATTCATTGATGAAAGGATTCGAAGAAAAGTGGGGGAGTAGATCGCACCTGATTGTTACGTTATACCTGAATTCGAAAAAAAAAAATTGATTGTTCGGTAGCGAAAAGAGATTTTCACGGAAAAGGAAAATTATGTAAAAGGATAATTGATATTTTTTTTTTTTTAGGTAAAAACCCCCCCGAACAAAAAAAAGCGAGACCCTTTTTTTTTCGTCCGTTTGTTTGTTTGTTTGTTTTAGTGTTAATTGAATATTATTCGTTTGTTTGTCACGTGATAATTTTACACAAAAAAAAAAAAAAATGAATGAACTGAAAAGTAGAAAAAAAAAAATTTGAATCATTTCCTTTGAAAAAAAATTTTTTTTTTTCTTTCTTTCTTTCTTCGCCGGTTATTCTTAGACCTCACACTGAGGTTCTCGTCGTATATACTCAGAACTTAAAACCTGGAATCAATTCAGGCGCCGACGCATTAGTCACATTATTAGTATTATTATTATTATTATCAAGGTACATGAAAGAAATGAACCCGGGGTTTAAATAACCTCGAACGATCGATCGATCATGACGACGATCGTTTTTTTTTTTTTTTTTTTTTTTTACCATTATAATTTAAAAATTATTTATCAATTGAATTTTTTGTGCGCGAAAATAAAAAAATCCCGCTCGATTGTTGTTGTTGTTGTTGTTGCGTTACCGGAAAGGTTGATGACGTCATTTGTCGAGAAAAACCGTTCGAGATGTATTTATTACGATTCTCCCATAGTCGAAGTATTGGTCGTGGAATTAGATTCGGGTGGGAGGGGGTGTCGCGGTTCGCCGTGTGCGTGTGCGTGTGTGTGGTAGGGTTGTCGTCGTTAAGGGTGTTTTTTTTTTTTTTTTTCATTATCGGACTTTGTCTAGTCGCCGATAATTGAATGGATCCATTAAAATTTTGTGTATACGTTGAAAGTGGAAAACATGATTTTTAACATTATGAATAAAGTAGTTTTCACTCACGAAAGAGAAGGAAAGAGGGGGGGAAAGGGGGGAAGGAAAAAAATTAGTACGATTACCATTTGTTGTAGTTTATCGGTTGTAAATGGGGGGGAGGGAGAGAGAGAGAGAGAGAGGGAGTTATATTATATTATCCGAAATGAAATAATAAAAGTGTAGAGCAGAAGACAAGACAGAAAACAACTTTTTTTTCCTCGTGTAGTTTTTTTTTTTTTTTTTTTGTATGTTACGGCGTTGTTGTCGGTTTAGATTTTTCTCTCTCTCTCTCTCTCTCTTTTTCTCTCTGTCTTTCTATCTTTTATCCTTCTTTCATTTTTCAATTTTTATTTAATTAAAAAAACAAAAAAAAAAAAAAAAAAACAATGAACCGAAGGTAAAAGAATTATTGTTTTTTTTTTTTTTTTTTTTTTTTTTCAGTTTCGAAATTAGATTAGTTTTATGGGGGGGCATCAATTTTAAAATGAAAAAAAAAAAACGAAATTTTTTTTATTAATTTTTAAAAATGTCATAAAAATCCAACCGAATAAATGAAATTTTATTACCGACGGGTTCGAAAATTATTATTTTTAAAATATTAATAATAATAATAATAATAATAATTTTTGTATGTTTTTAGAAAAGGTTAATCCGGGGGGAATGTCATGTCCCGAACGAACGAACGAAGGAATGTGAATGAATGAATGAATTTTCCAACGAAAGAAAATTCGATTTATTTCAAATTATCTCAAAATGGCGGGAAAATGTTTTCCACAAAAAAAAAATAAAAACCGCAAAATGTAGAATAATTCACGTACGCCATTTTGTTTTTTTTTTTTTTTTGCGGTTCCCATAAACGCGTTTTATTATTATTATTATTATTATTACTATTATTGTTTTACTAACGAGCTTTTGGTTGAGATAATAAAAATAAAAAAAATTAGGGGGAGGATCGTAACTCTCGGGAAAAATATTACGGTTTTTTTTTTTTTTTTTATGTTGCCAAAACGATGATGATGATGATGATGATGGCAGAACGAACAAACAAACGAACAAACGAACGAAAACAACTTTTATGTTACCCGGTACGAACGGCGGTTACAAAGGTCGATACACTTATTTATACAAATATTCGTTTTTTAACCGCAAGATTTTATTTAATTCCTCCGGACAAGAAAAAAAGGGAGAGAAGGGGGAAAAAAAAGAGAAACTGATAGAGTGAGAGAGAGAGAGAGGTAAATTTACAAAAGTTAGAGAGAGAGAGAGAGAAAAATAATATTAAATGTGTTAAAAGAACCCTCCGGGTCAAAAACAAGATTTGTTTGTTGTTATTTCGAAATTATTATTACTTTTGCAAAAAATAAAATAAAATAAAATAAATAAGTAAAAGTAATTTTTATTACGTAATTTATTTATTTATTTATTTAATTTAAAACTCGTGTTTACGTTGAAAAAAAATAAAATTGTTAACATTTGCGATTGGAAAACATTTTTTCCGAACGCCATTTTCCCTATATGATTCCCGATCTGATTCGGCAAACGATTCGTTTCCGTCGTGGCACCAACGTTCATACAAAATTCATTTTTATTTTTTTTTTTGTTATTGGAAAGAGAGAGAGAATGAATAAAATTACGTAATTTATTACAATGGATTTGGGAGAAAAAAAAAAAATTAAGGGATTGAATTATCTATCTAATTTTAAAAAATTAAATTTACTGTCTTGTATATTGTAATAATAATAATAATAATAATAATTTTTTTTTATTGCTTTTAATATTTTTATAGGTTGTTTTATAGCTGTGGCAGCATTAAATAATAATAATAATGGGAGAATTAGTTTTTTTTTTTTTTTTATCTGAAATGAATAATCTGTGTTAATAATAATTACAGATTACACCACAACGTCGCCAATCGATCCATCAATACTGAAAAGGACTCAAGAGGGTATAAATAATACGTGCGTTCAAGATACACTAAGATCATCACGGTCGACATCGCTCGGAATGGGAATATCGGATGATAGCAAACCGGATGACGAATCGCGAGAAGTCGATTCTCCGCCCATGATAGACACAAAAGGATTAATGATAGATTCAATGGCGGAAGGTGGTACATTGGATCCCGTAGGAAGCAGCAACGCGTCGGATAATAACAGCGAATGCGAATTGGACGAATTTGCACCCAAGAGAAAGCAAAGAAGGTACAGGACGACGTTTACGAGTTTTCAATTGGAAGAATTGGAAAAAGCATTTGCGAGAACTCACTATCCGGATGTGTTCACCAGGTGAGACTTTGTTGTTTCTCTCCAACCCTCCCCCTCCTTTCCGCTTCCGGTTTCGTTTACGAAGGTTGGTAATCCGTTAAGGGAAATAGTCAAAAATTTGTCGATCGAAACCTTCCGGTTAATTACCTTCCGGTCGAAACCCATTTTGTACGATTTGAATTTAAAAAAAAAAAAAAAAAATCCTTCTCGGAACGAGTCCAAAGTAGATTGATAGGTCCACAAAAACTTTGGGAAAACCAAAAAATTTTTATCGGGGGGAGGGGAGGGGAAAAAAACGGATGTTCCGCCATTTTTTAATAATGACTTAATCGTTTGGGATTCGTACGATTTGATTTTTTTCGTTACGTTTTAAATAAATACGTGAAGAATGAATGTATGACTTTCGTGGAACCAGACGAGTTCGACAGTGAGGGGCGGGGGGGAAACGGTCGATCACAATAAAATAATAATAATAATAATAATAATATGAAATCATCGAGAAAAAATTGGATCCGTATATAAAGTTTTTATCGTACGTGTATACAGAAAATCGTGGAAGGTTTTTTTTTTTTTTTAAATTTCTTAAAATTTTAATATGCGATTGATCGATGGATCGATCGATCTATCGATTAAGGGTTAGTTCGTGCCACTTCATTTAATTAATATCGATCAACCGTCTGTCGTAACGTTACGAGAAAAAAATAAACGCCGCATTCTCTTCTTCCTCCTCCTCTTTCTTCTTCTTCTTTTTTTTAATTACATTTTGTTGTTAATAAAAGAAGAATAAAAAAAAAAAAGCTAATTACACGATTACACGATTGTCAATCTTGTTTAACGACCGATTGATAACGGAAATCGTCGACGATAGATGATAGGAATGAAATTTTACTTTAATAATAAAAAAAAACGAAAAGTACATAATTCATGATGGGTTAGTAATTAAAGGTAATCAAAAAGTAATAAAATTTAAATTTATATTATAAAAAATACACGTTTTACAAGACGGCCCATTGTTGACAACGGCCCCCCGCCTCCCCTCCACTCCCCTCCCCCCGATAAAAAAAATTACCATACACTATTTTTTTTTTTATTTTTTATTATCGTGAAGCCATTTTGTTTTTTTTTTTTTTTTTTTAAAAAAATCAAAATCCAGTTTGATGTCCTCATCATTATCGACTATTAATAATATTCTTCGGATCATGTTTTCGAATTTTTTTGACGGTTTTTTTTTTTTTTTTTTTTTTTTTAAATTAACGAACATTAATTATAAAATTATTTTTTATTTATTCGATGCGAAAATCGAAAACAATCACACAAAACCCTCTTATTATTATAAAGGCTAACTAGCTCCTAAGGTAGGGCTATTGTCCTAAAACTGGTAATTTTTTTCTAATTATCTTTCTAGTTTATTACTTAAATAATTTAAGTAAGAGGGAGGGAGAGAGGGAGCGGTGTGGAAAGGGGGTTTACTGAAGGAGGAGGAGAGACAGAGAGAGGGAGGAAGCGGTGTGGAAAAGGGGTTTACTGAAGGAGGAGGAGAGACAGAGAGGGGGAGGGAGGGAGCGGTGTGGAAAAGGGGTTTAGTGGAGGAGAAGGATAGAAAAATGTTTTACTTAGATTCGTTCCAAGTTTTCAATTTGATTTATTATTATTATTATTATTATTATTATTATTATTATTATTATTATTATTATTATTATTAATCGCGCGCTGTTGTGTTTCTTGATTTCGATTGTTCTAGAAAATGAAAAACGGACAAAATGGGGGGAGGGGGTGATTAAATTGATTTCTCGGGTTATAAAAACGCACAATTAACGAACGCACACACGCACACGCACACTCACGCACGTCGAAACCAATCAAAATAATAATAATTTATTATTAACATTAAATCAAATAAATCAATAATTATTAACATTGGTTAATCAAATTTCGAATGATAATTCAGGTACGATAAATCTTCATCTTTTTGTGTGCCGCTCCTAATCAATTTAATTTGATTCGTATTCGAGTCGGATTCCTTTTGCCATTTCATTGTGCGTGTGCGTGTGCGTGTGTGCACAAGGTACGAACCTTTATTATTTTCAAAAAAAAAACGGGTTATAAATTAATCGAATGCGTCGTCGTCGTCGTCGTTGCCGCCGCCGTCGTCGTACCTTTATTAAATTAATAATTAATTTTTGTTTTTTTAAACGTCTGAACCCCCTTTTTTAAGCATCTAATTAAAATTTTAAAAGGTCAAACCGTAAAAAGGTCAATCATTTTTCTTAATGGCAAAAAGACCATACATCAAAATGTTTGTAGGACGTGGTTAATACAAACACGAAAAAAAAAAAAAAAAGGTTTACCTGAATTCGACGGAAACCTTTTGGAAACCTTTTTTTACCCCCTCTTTCTCTTTCTCTATTGTCTTGAGTAAACACTTGAGAATGAATTCGAGTCTCGTTCGAGATTGCAATCGAATGAATTATTACATTGTTTAAGGGGGTTAATATGAGGGGGGGGGGAAACCACTCGACAATATATTTTTATTTGTTTGTTTGTTGGGTTGTTTGTTTGTTTATATGCAATGGCAAATAAAAAAAATTTATTCGCAGTTCACGTGAGGGTCATCGCGCACGCGTGCTCGACATCGCATTCTCTCTCTCTCTCTCTACCTTTCGCTGAGTAATAATAATAATTGTGACGATGATGAACAAAAAAAAAGGGCGCGAAATTTAAATTTTTATCATTTCGTAAATGGCTAGATAATTTAATTATCTTTTAAATTTTGATTAATTAATTACATCAAAATCAAAAATTTTTTCGACGTTGAATGACAATGTAATAACGGTTCTGCCTACGCAAATAAAAAAAACTCGTTTCAATATTTAAATTTTTCGTGAATACCCGAAGCGATTCGATTTTACGTTGTTTAATAAAAATAATAATAATAATAATAATAATAATAATAATGATGATGATGATGATGATAAGAGGGCATTAACAGTATACGGGATGCGGCGCGTTGCGTGAGGGGTGCACGAATGTTTTTTTCAAAGAAAAAAAATTTTTTCCGAGTTTTCATTTTGAGGACGTGAATAAGTTCGAGAAACGGCAGCATCGCGTCGGTCGACAAACCGGAAGTCGAATTGAAAAAAATAATTCGTAATAATAATAATAATAATTACTTTTGAGTAATATTATCATCGTTTTAATTATTTTTTTGTTTTCGATGAATTTCCGCGAAAAAAAAAAACAAAAAAAAACAAAAGAGAAATTTTTATCATTATCATTATTATTATTATTATTATTATTATTTATTCAAATTAGTCTCTGATTAGAATTTTATATAAAAAATTTTTAAAAAATTACGTGATTCGTTCGCCATCGTGTGATTTAAAAGAAAATGTCAAGAAAAAAAAAAAAATTCATGAAATGTTGACCTTTTTTTTTTTTCTTTTCTCATTTTCATTTTCTAGTTTTTTTTTTATCGTGAATTAAAACATTTGAAAAGTTTATTAAAAAAAAAAAAATTAATGATAATAATAATAATAATAATAATAAAATTAATAAAATCGAGAGAGAGAGAGAGTGGGAGAGAAGGTTTCAGGTATTATTTTCGTTTGAACCTCGACCTTTTATAATCATTTTTTGAATTCCAACGTGAATTTCGTTTTTTTTTTCCCTTTTTTATTATCTCCTTCTCTCTCTCTCTCTTTTTATTTTATTTTATTTTATTTTTCGTAATTTGTTGTTGATTTTGTCTGCTTCCACGTCGTTAATTATTTTTTTTCACGCATTAAGCCCGTCAAATTTTTTTTTTTTTTTTGTTAAAATTGTTTTTCATTCGAAAATCTCGATCGAAGAACGAGGAAGAAAAAGAAAAAAAAAAGAAAAATGAAAAGTAATCTCGATGAAATGATAAAAATAATAATAATAACAAAAACAACAACAACAACAACAACCACGTTTGTTTTGTTTTCTTATCATAATCAAATATCAAAATCGATGATGGGAATTTAATGGAAAACGATTTATAATGTCAAAAACAAATATTACAAGCTATTCAGATTTCATCTTTGGAGTGTGAACGAAAAAAAAAAGAAAAGAAAAGAAGAGAAAAAAGTCGTGTTCAAACCGGAAGTGTACGCGAGATTTTCAAAACAAAAAAAAAAAAGCCCGCCAAATTTAAATTTTAACGTTTTTTTAAATTGATTATTGTTTTGCGAATTGTTTTCAACCACAAAAAATCCATAAACAAAGAGGAAAAAAAGACTTATAAATTTTGTCGGTTGTATATTTCGTTACTGCCACGTCAAATATTGCTTCGAATTTATTATTATTATTATTATTATTTGTCGTGTAATAAAAATTTGCAAAAATCTCGTTCCACGTTTATCGCGTTCGTTTTTCATTCATTCAAAACATCTCGTTTTATTTTTCGTAATTAATTTTTTTTTTAATTATTTATATCCGAGTCGGAAAAAATGATGCGGAAAACGATGGCGACGACGACGATGACGACGTGGTTTTAATCATCGTATTTTTTTTTATACGATTAAAAATCTCGGAGGCCGCGTAAAAATTAATTTTTATTTATTTTCATTCCCAATTAAATTTAAAAAAAAAAAAAAAAAATCGATAGATAAATTATTATTTTTATTATTTAATTTAAAATTTTTTGTTTTTTTTTTTAATTGGGAAAATTAATTTTTTTTTTTTTTTTCAAAATTTTAAAAATTCCTTTATTTAAAACCACGTAAATTTTTTCAAAGATTTTATTATTATTATTATTATTATTATTATTATTATCATCATTGTATAAATGCTCTGGAAAAAAAAAAATTATGTTTGTTTGTTTGTTTGTTTAACCGTAATTGCAAAATAAACGACAAACGCATTTTCGGTCGTAAAAAAAAAAAAATTTTTTTATTTTTTTTTGTTCGCGTTAACGATCATTATCGTGTCTTTAATTAATTTAATTGCTTGAATGAATGTTTTCGATAAATATTTTCTCCATTCTGATATTCTGTGCGTTTTCTAATCCCACGTTCGTTCGTTCGTTCGTTCCTTCGTTCGACCCGGGAGAAAAACATAAAAATGGTGGAAATCCAAGTGGGGTGTGGGGAGAGGGGAGGGAGAGAGAAATTTCTAGGCGTTCGTTCTCACGATCGATTTTTAAAAATTATCAAAAAAAAAAAAAAAAAAAAAACTCGTGTGCGTATTAAATTAAATTAAGAAAAAAAAAAAAAAAAGATATTTAAAAGTCCAACCGAACAGGTAATATCTAGTCCAGTCGTTTCGACCCGAGTTTTTTGTTGTAAGAAAAAAAAAAAAAAAAAACTTCATTTAATTTTAATTTGACGAAAGGCAATTTTTCAACCAATTTAAATTAAGTTTAATTTCTCGAGGCTATCAAAATAATATAATCTATCGTCTTTCCCTCTTCCCCTTCCCCTCCCCTATCCTCCCCTCCGTTAAATCCCTCCACACGCTCGCACGCACGCACTCACGCATCCCCTCCCCTCGCGCCCGTTTTTAAATTAACATAGTTTAATTAACCAACTACTCATTTTCTTTATTAACAACAACAACAACAACAACCAAAACATTTTTTTTGGAGGAGGAGGAGGAGAAAAAAAAATTAAATCTTTTTTTTTTTTTTTTTTTTTACGCTCACCTCCTGCTGCCACGTTTAATATGTTTTTTGTTTTTTTTATTGGGGGGGAGGGGTGAGGAGGGTGGGAGTTTGTCGGTAAATATTTTAAATATTAATAAAACGGACAAATCGACGTGTTTTTTTTTTTTGGCGGGAAAATGTAATTTAAAAAAAATTCGTCATTTGTTAAAATTTGTCTCTTCGAATAATTTTTAAAAAAATGACTACGTGAAAATTTGATTGTCTTTCCATCATCGATCACTACTCGAGTAAAAAGAAAAACTTTTCAAACATACGTAAACGTAGATGATGGAATAAAGAAAAATTTTTTTATTAATTTTACCGGGAAAAAATTGATCCCGAAGGGGATTTTTTTTTTTTTTTTTTATCTAAAGTAATAATTATAAAATTAAATCTATTATTCGGTTTTTCGTATAACTTAGTTAAAAAAAAAAAAAAAAAACATGTTTTTAATTATTTGGAGAATGTCAAATTAAACGGGATTAAAAAAAAAATGAAAAGAAAACATGATCTCACGCCCGTTTCAAACTAAATGTTTAACCCGTTTCGTTTATTATTATTATTATTATTATTATTATTATAGAATCTGGTTCAGGTATAAAACCTGCCTTCTTCCAGTTATTAATAATATTTATTTATTTATTTATTTATTATTTTCATCATTTTTATTCCAGGTAGTAGTGGTAGTAGTTGCAGTTGTAGTGTTTCATCTCTCTCTCTCTTTCTCTCTCACTCTCTCTTCTCTTTCTCTCTCTCTTTCACCTGGTTTAATTTGATTAGTAGTTCATTTAGGTCCGCGTGTATTTTTTTTTCTGTTTCTAATAATTGAATTAAAATAAGGTCGAATTAAAAATTAAAAACATTTGTGCGTGTGCGTGTGCGTGCGTCTGACTTAAATCCGTTTATTTTATGTGCGTTCCTATATAAGACACGCAGAGGGGGATGAAACGGAAAAAAAAAAACGGAATTGGAAATTTCTTGCTGAGTTACGTGTGTGTTGGTTTTATAATTGGATTTTTTGTTTTTCGGGTTCGTTCGTAAAAAAAAAAGGGGGGGGAAGGGGAAAGATTGAATATACAACTCGAAGGTTCCCGCCAAAAATATTTTAAAAAATAAAATAAATAATAATAAAAAAATGAATAAATAAATAAAATGTCGACGGCGCCGAAAATCAATTTGAAATAATTTATTTAAGGGCTTCATTTTTTTTTTTTTTTTTATTTCGTTAAACGTTTCGTTTTGGATAATCAATTAAAATTCTTTTTGGAAACAAAACAAAACAATAGACGGTCACAACTCATTCGTTTTTTTTTTTTTTTTTTTGCTTTCATTTCTTTTCATTCCAGACCTTTTTTCCCCCTACATTACATCTATATCGGAAAATTATATGACTAACGTAGTATCCTAATCTAATTAAAAGTCATAGAATAAGAAAAATGAAAAAAAAAAAAAAAAGCAGGCGTGCCAACGTGTATAAATTTTAATTACACGTTTGATGACGACACAATTCGAACTCGCGAATATAAAAATTATTATTATTAATTATTTATTTATTTATTTTATTTTTTTCTTTCAGGGAGGAATTGGCAATGAAAATCGGATTAACGGAAGCCAGAATACAGGTAAAAATTTAAAAATTTAAATTTTTTTAACGTTTTATTACGAATGTTGAAAGAGATGAATGAAACAAACAAACAAACGAAAAAAAATGGCGGAAAAAGTTTCGGTTACGTTTTTCCCGAAAATGCATCACGGTAAAAAAAATAATGAGAAGGTACGGTAAACACGTGACATTTGTTACTATTATTATTATTATTATTATTATTATCATTCTTACTGAAAACGTTAATTAATTTTTAATAATTTTAAAATGCAAATTTAATTATCTGGATAAAACGAGAAACCCGATTAGTATGATGATGATGATGTGTTCGACGTTATTAAACCTAATAATAATCGTTAACTCCCGTATTTTTTTTTGGGGGGGGGGGAGGGGAGGAGGGCTTGAATATTAAACGCGCACTTTCCCAACACGTACGAACGAATATCAACATTGAAAAAAAAAAAAAATGGCGACACGAATTTTTTTCGGGTAAACAGAAAAAGAAAATGTTTTTAAATTCGTGGCGATAGATTTTTTTATTTTAAGCGGATCGCACGCGCGTTTCGAAGCGCGTAAAAAAACGCGCGCGTCATACGCATTTAAAAAATTAATTTCAATTTCGAACGCGTGATTTGTTTAAAGTGTTCCGACGAAAAAAAAAAAAAAAAAAAAAAATACGTCGTGAAAATCGATTGGATACGTTCGGAGTCGATGATCATTAATAATTCGTCTCTTTTCCGTTTTGTTTATTATTATTATTATCATCATCATTTTTTTTTTGAGTCGTTATGTTTTCAAATTAATTTTTGATAGCATCACTTTGCGTTCGTTGAGGTAATTCGTCTAATTGAAAAAACGTTAAAGTTAATTAATTTTAAGAGAGAGAGAGAGAGAGAGAGAGAGAGAGAGAGAGATAAACACTTGATTAGATGAAAACTTTCTGTGGAAATTTAGTGTCAAATACGCCTTTCGAAGTTTTTTTTTTTTTTTAAATTAACTGCCCAGATAAAACTCCTGGAAGTGTTTCACCGTGATCTTTTTCTGAGGGAGGGGCGTTCGTGGGAGTACAACCTACATTTCACCCACAACTCCCTCCTAGTCCAGAACCATCAGGTTCGCATTCGCGAGGGTAGAAATCCCGATACTTCCTTTTTACCCTTCGGGAGACAGTCCCGAGCTGTTACCATCGTTCCTGCCTCTTCCGCTAAATTTATGAGTTCCAGGGGAGAGAGAGAGAGAGAGAGAGAGAGATGTTCGGGGTCGCGAATCCCTTTGATCGTTCATCTGCCTTCCTTTCACGTCGCAACTCCGCGTCTCCCTCAATATTTTTTTCTATCGCCTGAAATTTTAAAATTAGGGAAATTTCACAGGTCCCGAATGTTTGGCGCGAAAACATTATCGCGGTTTTAATTGGAATTTTTTTTTTTTAATACAAACTTTCAAAGAGGAAATAAAAATGAATCCGATGACAAAAAAAAAAAAAAACATTTGACGAGTGTAGAATTTTCTTTACTCAATATTTCGTACGTGAAAAAATTAAAAGACGGGTAATAAATAACTCGAGTAATTAAAAAAAGAGAGAGAGAGAAAGAGAGAGAAATTATTACTTTTTTTTTTTTTTAAACACACGCGGAGAATTTTAAGCAGACAGCCGTAATAATTTACAAACAAATTAGTTAATGAATTCGGTATATTAATAATAATAAAACAAGAGTGAGAGAGAGAGTGTGTGCGTGCATGCATGCGTGTATGAGCGAGTTAGAAAAGAAAGAAAGAGAAAGAGAGAGAGAGAATAGGAGAAACAAGTAGGGGAAAAGGGAAACACAATTTAAAATAAAAC